CAGGATTTACAAAATAATTGTACCTATGCCCTATATATGTTTCTAATGGTTCTTAAGAGATTTTAATTCAAATAAGATTTTTAGCTTTATGCAGAAAAAAAATAGACCAAATTACAAGGGAAAAAAAACTTTGATGGAAAATTAAAATTCCAAATTTGTATATGGCTTCACTTCCATTTTTCACACTCTCATTCAAGTGAACCAATCTTGTTTCCTGGAGAACACCAAGATTCCGCTGCTCATTTTGTGGTTTAGAATAGTACTTGGTCTCTGTACAGCTCCAGTCCTTGTATATCAAACTCCTAGTGTGCCATAAAACAACCATATATGTCTTATAATTTTCTTCCTTGTCATTGTTTTAAACAATTTGTAAGCTGTAGTAGCCCATCCTCTGAGCACCTTAAGAATTTTCAGTAAGTTTAAAATGCTATGCCACTCTAAAGATAAGGAAAAATATTCTAAGTGGCCAGAATAAAACAAGAGGTTTAAATGCTTAACAAAAATTAACAATCATAATATGATATGCTACTAATACAATTTTGTTTAATTATACTTTTAAATGTATAGAATCTGATAGTGTTGTTTGAAGAAAAGAAAGGAAGGGCTAATACAGCTTTAAATGCAGTTTATCAAATTATTGTATAATAGCTTGTATAGTGTATCATAAGAAAGGTTTTTAGATGACAGATTGCTTTATCATGACACATATATTTTTTCTAGGGGTCACAAATGTGTTGATATGGGTAACCCATAAAAATTGTGGTTTGTCTGGAAGTATTAGTCCTCACAGCATTGTGCTGAAGTATCTAAGAGGTACTCTAATTTTATTATGTATCTGTTATTTTTCCTTTCCTTCTTGTTCTAAAAGAACTTACCCATATTCAGTGGAAGTTCCTGGGGCAGAAGTGTAAATCCATTAGACAATTGTAGGGGGGGAAAAAAAGAATAGGTTGGAAATGAAGTATGATAATCCAACCAGTGTGTTTGGTTACTCCGCATTCCCAAATTGAATCTGCAGAATCTGGGTGGGTTTATGAAAGCCCTACGTGCACGCATGTGCGCGCACACAGACAAAACACAGAAAAAAAGAAATAAGTAGTGGGTTCATGTATGTCTTAGCCTATATGTTCACACCACCAACCTCTGTGGTTACTTTCAAATATTGTCTCTCTGAGCACAGCAAAACAGACAAATTTGGCAATAAAATGCATATAGGTACCAGCAATATGTAAATAATAGAACATAGTTTGATCACAGTCAAGTACATTTCTAATTACTCAACAAAATTGCTCCTTGTAAAACAGGGATTTTACCTGAGCTATTTTCGTCTTGTCTTAATCCTCTTTATAAATGTGAGGCTTATAAATTAAAATCCCCTGCTGTTGTGTTCAGTACTTGGGAATAAAATAGAATATGTAATAAAAGAAATGATTTCTTTATGGTGTCTGTGCAGTTCCAGAGCTAGGAGTTGTACTATGCACAGCCTGCTGTGAACTTTCTTGAATTCCAAAACAGCTGGATAGCCCTGAGGTGCAGTTGCCCGAAGCCAAGGCTTGTTATGAAAGCCACAGAGCAGAAAGGAAAGGAGATGCCCCTTTTCCACATAATCCTCTTCTGACTGTTGCACAGGGAGAACAGCTTTCTCCACCAGTTGCTTAACCAGGGCTTACTCAAACCACAGTTTGCTTGGTTCACCTAACAAAACAAAACCGTACTTCCCGATTTCTCTGGCTGAGTTCACAAAATCTACTAAGCCACAGAGAAATCGGATGTGGAATAGCATTTTGTGTAAAGCCAGCATTCTGCATGATTTTCTCTTCAGGTGCTTCTCACGTAGAAGTTCCAGCTTCCAGAAGGTTCTGAAGATAGGGAATACCATGGTATTATTGCCTGAGTGACAATTTACAAGATACCCAGAAACAGGTACCCAGTCTGTTCTACTGAATAGAACAAGCTTTTAAGCATTTAAATGTTCAGCCATTTTCTTAAGCTTCAGTGGATATTTTAACAGTAGTTTTGCAAACTATTGAAAATCTATTTTGACTCTGTTTTGCTAACACTAACAGGCTTCAGTATTTACTTTCCAAAATGCTCCTGGAAAGATAACGCACAAGGAGAATACCAGAAGTTATACTTAAAAAGTGGCATGTGTTAAATATTTTAGCCCCCAATACAAAGTTTAAGGAAGCTAGGAATGTGTGATTAACAAATACGTGTGTGTGATGGTTTACCAACACAAGTGAGGTATCCTGTGTCTGTGTGAAGATGAAGAGTTTGTGGGATGGAAAGAGGCTCTTATTCTTTCTATGTAAAATATTTGTTGAATTTATGGATTTCTTAAAACATAGAAATGTTGATTCTAGAAAATAAATTTCAGTTTAAATGTGCTGAATGATTTAAACAAAAGCCATTTAAATATATAAGCATTTAACAAAATGTGATTTTGTTTGGCTATTCTTTTTTGTGCTGTGGGAAATCAGCACTGCAAATAAAACAGGGAAAATTATGACTTCTGTTTCTTCAGTGCCTTACCACATCATGCTGACCTGGAAATGATTTGGATAGCACTAAATATGAATGTGGTATGCTAACGTTTTACAAGGTCATTGATAGGAATGGTCCTTCATAGAATATATTCAGGCATGGAATTGGAGAGGTGAAATGGTAATAAAAGTAAGGGCCTATTAAGCTATAAACCTGAGTATACTTACTTTAACTTTTACTACCTGTGGAAGTGATTCCTAAGTAATGTGTCTAGGATTAGTATGCCAATCTTGCCAGCCAAATTAAACCAAAAATACAATTGATAGTAAAAATCAGTAGAGAAATATAAAATGCACACAAATATGGAAACAAGTGCCAACCTACCTTTAAAAACACAGCTTCTTAGCTTCATAATATAATTTCAGATTAGGACAGGGAAGAGGGATAAGTCAGAGAATGGAGAAATAAGATTTATGGCTAGAAGTTGTTACAATCCCTATAAATAGAATTTGGAGTGATGGGCAGTGCCTAGGAACAACAGGATTGTAGGATTGGTTTAGGGCGCAAAAAATTTATGGGACCTTAATTCTCCATGGTGGTATAGAGTCCAATACCGATGATGCAAAGAATTTAACCCTTCTACCCTGGGGAGGGGGTAAGCTTTGATGACCTACCTTTGGCCAAATAGATCTCCCCACCTAACAAATAGACAAAATTGTGTGATTTTATTTATACAGGAGTGCATTATGCAGGCATGGTATCTTGTGTTTATAATTCCTGTAGACTTTCCAGAAGACTTGGACCTGCGGAGAAAAATGTACTTACTCCTTCTAATTGAATGTTGGATTCAAAAGTACCGTTTTATCTGCAGGAGGTGCTCCTGTTTAGAGACAGAATATGTTACACTTTGTGCCAAAGGAAAGTGAAATTGAGTCCAAAGATTTTCCCCCTTGCATAAGTAGAAGCCAAAAAGGCTGTAGAAAATGCCCTTTATACTGCTGCATGGCTGCTTCCCTTTGTCCTTGTGTAGCCTTTGCAAAACTGAACTAGTGGCTGTTTTCATTTCTTCTCTGCTCTGAAGAGCCACCTGAATGTGGAATAATTCATTTTAAAAACATGTACATCTACTTTAGTAGTGCAGTTTCATAAGGTAAATATTGTGCATTTCCATCATGTTCCGCCCTTATCACTCTAATAATAGCCTTTGAAAAGTCTCTCACACACAAACCCACGGAGATGGAGGAGAGTCAGAACTCCACAAAATGCTACATTTATTTTACTAATTGCATGGGGCTGAAACAGAGCAGGGATGGGAATATACTTCCTTCATGGTTCTTTGAAGTCTGTTGAGATACCTCAGAGTGTAGTAGGGTTAAGACCAATAATTTTGAGAACTGGTGGCAAGGCCCTGGTGGTCAAGCTACTAGGCTTGAAGTAATTTGAAGTATGCACTTGAGTATTTTATAGAAAGGGACCAGAATATTCAGCCTCTTTCATACACAAGCCTCACCCACTATCTGAGTCATACTGAAATGAACTGGGCTGTCCTGAGTATACCCACATTTTTAATGCTACTGCTGTTCCATTGAACAATACTTTCAGGCAAGGCAAGGAGCCTCATATTGGTTTTTGGTTGGTTTGTTGTTTTAATTAAAGGACCCTTTTTGAGGCTTTTCTGGTAAAAGACCACATGTACGACAATTGTCACCTCCCACCCACTCCGCCCAACAGAGTTAATAGCACGGATTCAACAGTTTGTCAACATTCTATTTTGTATAGTATACAAAAATATATAATGGGGACAAATGCTGGTGTATGGCATTAATAAAAAAAGCTTTTTTCATTATTTTTATCACAGTAATTTTAAACAGTGTAAAAAGAATTAAAACAAGTGACTCCTGTTTTAAAACAAAAGTTGTAGTTTTTTATTCATGCCGAATAACTGTAGTAACAGTGTCTTTCAACATAATCAGTGAAAATGTTGGACTGTAAAATCTTGTGTGGAACTGTTAAGCATTTATTTTCATTTTAAATTTTGCTGTTCTGGTAATTCAAAGCCACACGTCTGTACAGAAGCTGCCGTAAATGTAAGCCATTTACAGCAATGCTGAATAATGGACAAAATGACAATAAAATTCTGCTTTTTCATTACATGTTCAAACACTTTTGA